TTACTTACTTACTTACTTACTTACTTACTTACTTACTTACTTACTTACTTACTTACTTACTTACTTACTTACTTACTTACTTACTTACTTACTTACTTACTTACTTACTTACTTACTTAATTACTTACTCACTTACTTACTTACTTACTCACTTACTTACTTACTTACTTACTTACTTACTTCTACTTACTTACTTACATACTTACTTCAACACTTACTTACTTACTTGCTTACTTGCTTACTTACTTACTTACTTGCTTACTTACGCTTGTTACCCCTCATAAAGTAGAGTATGCCACTCAGTAGCATTCTTCATCTCGAGCTCAGTTAAATAAGGAAGGCTAGATATGGAATGAGCTACCCTTATGATTTGTGAGTTGTTTTTTTGGTTTCCTACAGTTTTCTCCCGGTTTTTTTGTTGCTAGTTTCCTTTTTAGTTTGTCAACAATGTAACTACCATAAGGAATATACAATTGTTTTCTATTACTATTCATTTGAAGAAAAATATTATTCATTTTACGTCGATGTGTTATCTATCTATGTATGTTGGGTATCTTTTTTGCTGAGGATGGGGTTAGTGGTGGGATGGGGTTGGAGGTGGAAATTCATGACTAACTTATAAGATCATCTCTTTCTATACATAAACATATCTCCTTATTCTATATATATGGATACCATATAGAATGTACTCCTAATGCTTGTGGAAATCTTCAATGAATATTGTATAAACGGTAGATGAATACATGTTTCTATTTATGTACATATACATTGATATATGAATACATGTTCCATGGAGACATTTATAAATGGGGGAGGGGAAAGAAAGAATTGTTAACGGTATAGTATTCTTTTGTAATAAGAAATGACTCAGTTATGGTAAACATTGATCATATTGATATTTGGTTGTTCTAATAAGTAATAGTCTAACTAAGTAGTATAGTAGTATAGACAATAAGAAGATCGTTTCATTATAAACATATGAATAGGAGATGAATAAGAGTTAGTATATGTGTAAACAACAAAATGGTACAAATTTGAATGGGCTTTTTGTTTTTCTTCTATAGTAGTACAATGGAAAAGATGTTCTATTGATTTATTCATTTAAATTAGTTACTAACTAGTGATATTTTACTTTTATTTCATTGTTATTGACTACTGAAATTGTTTTATTGATTGACTTATTTATGCCTGTTATTCCTCGTGAAATTGCATAGGCTACTTACTAGCATTCTTTATACAGCTCTGTCCTGGAAAATCATTTCCATTTGTTTCTAGTTACTATTCATCTTTGACATGTCTGATTCGAATTCCAGAAGTAGTGTGTTCTTTGGCCTTCCACTTTTCCGTTTCCCTTCATGATTCCAAGATAGTGCTTGCCTCGTCATACAGTTTGATGATTTCCTACTGTATGTCCTATCCATTTCCATCGTCTTTTCCTAATTTCCTTTTCAGCTGGAAGGTGGTTTGTTCTAATGGTATGCTAATGGTATTCGACCAGCAGACATTCAGTTTCTTACGTAGACAATTGTTTATAAATACTTGTACCTTATTGATGATGGTTGTAATCGTTCTCCACATTTCAGCTCCATACAGTAGGACTATATTGACGTTCATTCTAAGCATATTGCCGGTTCCAAGTCAGGGTAAATGAGGAAGTTTGGATATGGGGTCGGTAACCCCATGCCATATAAAAAAATCATGCTAAAAAAAAAATTAAACCATTTAAACTCATACGTCAGTGTTTAATTAACGTCATTAATTTATTATGGTCAGCAGAAGCTCAAAATAAATCAAGTAATTGGATTCTAAAAGCTCCAACTTCTAATCAAATTTTTACTTATGATCTGTAAGGAGTCAAATCAAGTGATATTCAGTATTAAGTTTAGTGAAGAACCACTTCATGGTATTTTCATAGCTAACGATTTATATCATAGTATCAATTGCAACTTACAAACCGTCCTGATACATAAATATAAATGAAAATAATGGTCTAGAGGTTAAGCGTTCGATCGTCAGACTTAAGGTCCTGAGTTCGAATCCTTCGAACTGGATCGTGGATGCACACTGTTAAAGTGTCTTATACTAGGGAGAAACAACAGTCCAGTGCTTTCAGATTTTCAGTGGTGATCTAAAATCAATGGATTCATGAACTCAACTATTAAATCACTATAGTATCCATAAAACCCCTTTCTGACAACATATAATTACTATCAGAAGGGGTTTTGTGGAGATAGTAGTAATTTCAACAGTTGAGATCATGAGTCAATTGAAGCTAGACCACTATGGAAAACCCGGAAGCACTGGACGGTCGTTTCGTCCTATTGTGAGACTCCTCAGCAGTGCGCATCCACGGCCCCGCCTCGGAGGATTCGAACCCAGGACCTATCAGTCTCGCACCAGGCGCTTAACTGACTAGACCACTGAGCTGGCCGGCATCCAACTGTGTTAATGTCTAACTTCAACTAATCCACCATATTGAGAGACACATCTTACATTTTCATTAGTGAGTTACTACCTCACAACTGACCCGGTTGAACTCCACTGCTGAGGAGTCCCGCAATAGGGCTAAACGGCCATCCAGTGCTTCCAGGTTTTCCATGGTGGTCTAGCTTCAATTGACTCATGATCTCAACTGTTAAAATATATAAATACGTTAATTTTATCATGCTACTAATAAGTAGTTTTAATAGTATAGTTCTGTTTACAAGTAATATAATTATTATACAATACTAATTAATTAAAAGTGGATAACTTTTCATGTTTACTGTTTAACTACTTGTTTGTTTTCGGCACCGATCATCATCATCCACCATATGACTAATACCCTAAAATAGTAATGAACTATGTTTTACTTTATTGTTTAGTCAAATAATTAGGTTATTCGTTAGTAAATAAATTCATGTTCTTATTAGTTACTAACCTTATTGATGATGAATAACAATAAAGATCATAATGACTATTCAACACAATAAAACTAATGAGAGGCTTTAACTAATCAAATTCAATCAATATAAGGATGAATAGGGTATTACTATGGATAACAATGAATATTGATTGTATTATAATGGAAATTGTGAATATGATCTAGTTGATCGCATTTTAGTGATTTGATAATAACACACATTTAGTGAAATGGTGATAACACTTGAAGTTTCCCACGTTTTTACACGAATGAAATGTGAATTTATCTTAGACAAAATATCTACATTAGATTCTTTCCCAATGTCTATATTCTACAAGTGTTCAACACAACTCAGATCAAGAACTCATGATTCACCTGATTAGAACGTAAATATATTTCCATGCCAAAACTCGACAACAACCAATCATTATCATTCTCGTCAACACACCAAATGTGTTGAACGAATAGTAGATAGTAGAAGTGGAAAATTCTCCTCTCTCCCTCTTGCGGGACTCGAACCCAGGACCGTTGGTCTCGAGCGCGAACGCATGATGTCTTGACCACCGATCCGGCATCCAACAGTCTAATGTTTAACTTCAATCAATCCATGATATTTCGCTGTACTGATAATTTTCATATGCTCATTAGTGATTAGTGTCTATAAGTAATTTTCGGAGTTCTAGTGAGAAACCGTGACTAGCAGAGTTGAACGGTGTTAGGTGTGGGTCAGTTACCCATCGAAAACAATAGAAGATGGTCGCACAATATCATGGATTAGTTGAAGTCAGACATTAACACCACTGGTTGCCGGATCAGTGATCTAGACGTAAAATGTTCACGTAAGACTGAAGATTCTGTGTCCGATTCCCATATTTAGGATAGTGAATGCACACTGATGAGTGGTTTCATACTAGAATAAAATGATTATCCAGTGGTTGAAGGTTTTTAATGGTGTTTTAACTTTGATCGGTTCATGATCTCAATAAGAACTCAACAATCTCCACAAACCTATACTGATAATCCATCTATGTTGTAATACGAATCCTTTAAATAAATCCCATAATATTATTTCCATGGATAAGTTTAATCGACTGGAAATAGTGGTTAGCAGTGAAGCACATCAAAAAGACTTCTGAAACTGTTATATCCCTATGAGAATAATGAATGGTAACTGTTGAAATCTATTTATGTAATAATCTTCAATAACTAAACTATACATATTCATCTCCCTATTATTATGAGCTTTATTTTGACCTATGAACTGTTATTATACGATTTGCCATCCTTAAATTATGCCTTTTCTATCAATTACTATCTCCCTCATTCACAACCACATTTGGCCAAATCTTGTACAAATGTTATTTTCCATTTTATGGTGTGATGTGGCCTGTGTGGTTGGTATATAAACGCAGTATGTTTGAAATACGTGACTCATATCTCAAAAGCTGAGATTGGTGTTCTGGACTCAACATCCAGGACCGGTAAAAACTCTAAACCGCTAGTACGGGTTTTATGTGTCACTGGTCCGGTCGATGTATCATTGTTCTCTAATTGGCAGTATTATTACGTCATATATTTGAAGGGGCACAGGGCCACAAATTTTAACAGAAACATCCTGGATACATCTAGCGTGAAATCTATATTCAAATCTTTTTTTCTAGTTTGGTCCAACCATTTAACATAAATACACAATCATCCATTCTCTGAAGTTTAGCAATGATATGTTTGTAAATATTCCAGTTGTAATAGCCGACGTTTTTTAACTTCCTTGAAAGTATACCTGGAGCAAGTACTTTTTGTATGACTCATGATTAATGATTAACACAGTATCAATATAAATATTTCAGTAGTTGAGATCATGAGTCAATTGAAGCTAGAGCATCATGGAAAACCTGGAAGCAATGGACAGCCGTTTCGTCCTATTGTAAGACTACTCAGTGTGAATGCGCATCCACGATTCCACCTCGTGAGATTCGAACCCAGGACCTATCGGTCTCATGTGAAAACGCTTAATCTCTAGAACTTTTATATATTTCTTTTTAAAATTACTGGAGCTTTAGTCGAATGTAAATTCATCTTTTGTTTTTGTTATTTCTAGCTGCTTTAACGCGTGAAGTATTAATTATTGGTGCAATTATTATAGTGTTCATCTCAGTTATACTTAATGTGTTCTGCTGTATTCGATGTGCATTAATTCGTCAATATTCAAGTAAGTAGTCAATAGTTTATTTTGATAATTACTCAATAAAGTGTATCCTGAATTGAGAAATGTTCATTAGTCATTACATAATTCAATATGTTCATGTTATCTTGTGAAAATCTATGTTGAACAGATTATATTCTTTGTTCTAAATAAGTATGATCATAAAAGTTTCATTGTCATTCTAAATAATCTTGTCGCGTGTACTACTGATATCCATAGATATAAGTAGTATGTATCAGCCGCCAAATGCCCTGGTACGCCCGAGAGTGGGGAGAGTCCGCTCTCCCTATACAAATGCTTTCATATTTCAACGCGTATATAGCCTCTGACAGGGAAGTCCTATTCACTGCCATCTCGCACCACGGGTGTTGTTTACGAAATTGAGAGGACGAAAGGCGAATGCCTGGCGCTTTAACCGGGTTGGTGGACATGGAGAGTCCACCTAGGAGAGTTGAAAAACCCTCATTCCAAACCAATGGTGCACATGGGCTTCAGTATCCTGCGGGAACAAATGGCGTATGAATCAATCGTTGGTCACCGGCTACCATGAGACTGAACCTCTTTACAATGCTCCACTGCCTTGTGGATCAGACATTTATATCGAAGGCTCTGGGTGTAGCCCCTTAAGAAAACCACCTGCTTCGGTTTAGGCACCCGGGCAGTATCACAGCCCTCACACAAGTCAAATGAGATCTGTGTGGCGCATATGTATGTTAAAGTATGTATCATCAATCAAAAGTGAAGATTTAACTTGAGGACTACTAGAAGAGCTTAGGAACCTAAATCTAGCGTTCAATTAGTAAGACTCATCAAAAAATCATGTACAATTTGCCACATATAACCTACAATTATAAAAGATTAAATGACTTTTCGATATGTTAATGGATATGGACTTATGATTGGAAGTGACGAAAAGAAAGAATTTGTTGATACGGTTTCCATGAACTATGACGAAGCCTCACGATGCTCTAAAAAAGCCAAAGAGTTCCACCCAATGAGAACGTAATGGAGCTTTGTAGAATACTAACGTGGCATGTTACAATTTGTCAGCATCATAATATGCGTTTTTGTGGATTGATTGAATCATAATGTTGATTTAACAAATGCTTATATCTATAAATACCTATAAATTTCTATACATTTTGATTCTTGCTCAACAATAAATTTCTCTAATCTTCTGTCTTTCTTCTTCATGACTTGTGAGGGTTTCCCCATTCGAATGCTTAGGTCATACGCAGTATATTACGAAACTAATCTGTAGATATAACAGAATTACGTAATGATAATATTTTGCTCCATTAATATAAATAGTAACCATAGTTATTGATCTGAACCATTTACCTTCTTAAATATTATCAGGTAACATTTGTAACTAACAACAGTTTCATATCTGCGTATTAGATCATTCATTTGTCTATCAAATCTTGTTGGGTTTGAAGCTATCACGAGTTCACTTAATCTGCGAACGAGAACAAAGACTCAGTGACCAAAGACCAATAAGCTAGCTATTTGATGCGTCTCAGCCCCGTTAACCAGAGGGAGAAGTTCAAGCTTGGGATAGGAAAGTATATTCTGCAAACCACCAGAAACGAGCGATAACAACAAACACAATTCAAAACGCATACATATATACAGTACAGAACTGTCCTTGGGGAGAGTTACCAAATAGCATAGTAAAAGATGCAACGGACCAATAACATTTAAGATACTTCCCAGTGGGAAACACGACATGACGGTGACAAGAGCACCTTTGGCGCAAAAATAAAGAAATTCAAATTTTCTAAATAAAATTACAAACTTAGGTTCTTTCCCAAGTGAGTTCTGGGGATCTAAGATCCCCAATAAAAGTACACACATTCACTTCGTTTTTTTGTTATATTTCAGAATCAAAAGATCAACCACATATGCAACATTTATTCTGTATGGCTGAAGAAATACGTAATGCACGTATTGTGAAACAAATCAATGGGAAAGGTTTTAATTATCGTGATAAAGTAGGATATGAACAACAACAACAACATTTAGGTACATTACTTCATGATGGTCATAAAATGAATAAAAAAGGAAGCAGTCTATTATTAATGAATAAAATTCAATCACAATCTAATGGTTATGAATCTTATCAACCATCTATTGATTATGGATCAGAATATTTAACTGGTTTAAATTGTCCTGGATTTTTATTGAATGATAATCAATCATCAAATGGTTTATCAAGTGATATCCATTTAAGATATTTACCAGATGGTAAATCAGGTAATAGACAATCTATATCAGCATTCTCTATTGTACCCGGTCAATTTCCAATATCATGGACTCATCATAATAATAGTAATAGTAATATTGAAGCTCATCGTCGATCCATAACTAGTATCCAACGTAATGGTGGTAATTCTCTCGCTTCAAATCATTCATCTCAACAACAAATTACTGAAGCTGTTACTAATTTCTATTTACAACATCAACAACATTTTAAAGAATTACAAAATCATTTAAATAATACTAATACGACTAATACTACTACTAATAATAATAGTAATATAGATACGGTTACAATGAATCAACTTGGTTCCGATGGTATGAATTCATGTTTTGGTAGTATTGGTCAACCAGATTCAAGTATTTTATCAGATATGAATATCAATCCATCAAATGCAATGAATTGTGAATCACCTATAATGAATAGACATAATAATGATAATCATATCATATTAAACAATATAATGCCCTTAACAAATTCATCTATGAATCCATCGAATTATATCATACCTATAGATTCAATAAATCCATTAATCAATAATTATACTAATCAATTAACACCAAATATCAATCGTATACAACCAATAGGATCATCACAATCACAATTAATTACATTAATGAATAAATTAAATTATACTACTAATACTACTAATAATACTACTAATAATCAATCAATTCATAATGAACAAATTTTAACTCATTTATCAACTCTTAGTGATACATTAAATTCACAATCAGATAGTGGAGCTGGTTCAGGAAGTGGAAAAATTTCAATGGATTCATCAGAGAATAAAATTAATTCATTTTAATAAATGAGAGAGACAGAGAGATTCAATGTTCAATTTATTCATTAAAATGGATATTGATAAAGTTTCATGACAAAAGAGAGAGTGTGTGTGTGAGTGATAGGGGTGTGGAGGAGGAGAAGAGAGGGGGTGAATGGGGAGAGAGGGAGAAAGAGAGAGAGTGGAAAACTTCTCAAACAATCAAAATAATATTCTATTTAAATGTTTATCTTTTATTTACAAAATTTAATCTCTAAGAGAAATGGAAGTCTTTTTTCTTCTTTTAAAATTACACATACTAGTCATAATTTTCATGGTTTGAATACGAACCAAAAACAAAAAAACAAACATCAAATACTAAGCCAAGAATGGCTACAATGAATCACTCTTTTATAATAATAATGATAATCATAGGAAAGTTTCTTTCTTTCTTTCTTTTTCTGAAAATCAATTTTCATTGGAAAAAAATAATAATGTTTTCCTACAAAAAATAAATCATTATTTTCTTCCCATAAACCCTAAGCATAAGACAATTCATTTGAAAATTATATTTATTTAGTTATACTACTGACTAATAAATAAGTACCTTGTTTCTTTCTATTAAAAAGTTTCTTGGAAGAATATATATTGCATGGCTATCATTAGGGAATATTGTATTTCGTTATTTCGTTGATGACTTCTTTTCTTTTTTTGTTTTTGAAAAGAATTCTAGGATAAGAATCTTTCTACACTTTCATTTTGAGTTGTGATAATCCATAAAAAGTAAAATGACGGTGGATTTAATTAAATCGTTGTTATTTTTTCCTAGAATGGTTTATGTTGCCTGATATACTATGTTCATTCTCTACAAAACATAACATTTACGTCTTGTTCGATCAGTTTGATAGTAATGACTTATATAAACAGTTAGCAGGATATAAGCAAAGATGGTTAGTGGCTATTAGTGGAATTCAGCAGGCGTGTTTCATCCTAGTCAGAACTCGTCAGCTGGATGTAATTGCATCTCAGAGTTGATGTCCACTCTGGGACTCCTTACCAGTACGGTTCGCTTCAAACGCCATCGCGTTCTCCACTTAGTTACTGGGTCCTGATAGCCACTTGCTTGTGCAGTGATGTGAAGTATAAATTCACTTGGTATTGTTTGTCCTAGAGTGAACATCAACTTTGAGATGCAGGTACATCCAACTGATGAGTCCCTAATAAGACGAAACTCATGTCCTGGGTTCCACTATTAGTCACCATTTGTCATTGCTTACAATTCTTGTGAATTAGGGAAATATTGAGGCAGTCCGCACAGAATGAACATATGCCGACATGAGACTGATCAATTGCAGTCCTCAACGACAATGGGAAGATGCAAGCCAACAATACCAAGTGAAGTTAACGGGATATTTCAGTAGACAAGTGTGAGATGACTAAGGTCTTTAACAAGAACCTTACGCCGTTCATAATCCTATGTATTATACAAAATCTCATCTTTGAATCCATTTTGACATAGGAAAGATAATATGGTCTGCTATTATATGTACATACAGAACAGTGTGTCTGGATACCACATTGACAAAGACATAACAGTATTCAAAGGCAGATTCAGAGTAAGGAATCAACTATATATTCACAGAACAGAATTTACTGTTTTAAGGATAATCATATTAGGAGGATAAATACTACCAAGTTATTAGTGCCTACATGATCTTCAACTACAAGGTACAAGGAGGCACCAAATAAACATGCGCCACACAGATCTCATTTGACTTGTGTGAGGGCTGTGATACTGCCCGGGTGCACAAACCGAAGCAGGTGGTTTTCTCAGGGTACCACACCCGGATTCTCCGACCTAAAGGTCGGATCTACAAGGCAGTGGAGCATCGTAAGGAGATGCAGTCCCATGGTAGTCGGTGACCAACGATTGGTTCATACGCCATTTGTTCCCGCAGGATACTGAAGCCCATGTGCACCATTGGTTTGGAATGAGGGTTTTTCAACTCTCCTAGGTGGACTCTCCATGTCCACCAACTCGGTAAAAGCGCCAGGCATTCGCTTTTCGTCTTCTCAACACCCGTGGTGCGAGATGGCAGTGAATAGGGCTTCCCTGTCAGAGGCTATATATGCGTAACCATGTGAGAGCATTTCAAGAGGGAGAGCGAACTCTCCTTACTCTCTGCCGTACCAGGGCAAAATGTAATTTTTTTAAAATAATAACTTCAGCCTAAACAATCAAGAGGAAATAACATGAGTAGACAATTTTTGCAATTAAAATACAATTGAGGAGAAATATTGATGAGACCACAATTTATGAACGAACCAATCCGGTCTAGGATATCAAATCTTGGATTTTGGTGCAAAATTCGTTCATCCATTTGGCCATTTAGAGTTTGGTCATTTTAGTTGATGACAGTTCGTGATGAAAATCTTTAAATCTAATTCCTAACCTTAATCATCAACTGTAAATCATAATCCTTATTCTTCACACTGGTTTATAACTCTCATTCAGTCTTAGTAAGTAGAATGTACATTCAAAAGGTAATTTTAACGTCACTCAAAGGTCGTCTATAAATTATAGTCTTATGGAAAGTTTATATAAGTCGACTAGCAAATATAAGTACTGTTCAAGGTGACTTAAGAATATCCATATCATGCTTATTGTTGATTGACGATAAATAGTATGTGATTTTCATTTCTCTCTGTTTTTTTAAAATGTAAACAATCTCCCTGATCTATGGGTTATGATTTCGAACTGTTCAACATTCTTGGCATAAAACTATGATCACGTTCTTACTGATAACATAATTCTTGACGAATTTCAAAATTTCCATTCAAAAGTTGTGGTCTACGGGGTTCAGTTGGATAAGCAGTGAAGCCATATTATGAATCAATTGAACTCGGAAATCCCGACCACAGGGCCCCAAACCAATGGAATTAAGATAATAACCTCATTATGAAACCTGGAGATCCTGGTTTCTATGCCTACGGGGTCATAAGTGCGCATTTCAGAAGAGCCCCATACTAGGTAGAAAAAGTTATTATGTGTTTCCTGGCTCTCACTGGTATTGATTGATCACTAGATAGTGACCAATATAATTTGTATCAAGTCCTTCTTAATGCAGATCGAATTCCATAGGCCAAATTATAATATGGCCACTAATCTAGATGACATGATGTTGCCTGCATTATACTGAGATGAAGTGATAGTTGGAGGTAATCGACTTACTGTGAAGCTGGGTGACAAGTACTTAGGTCCGTCAGGGGGCATTAGCTCCCTCACGATTACAGGCACACCTTGCTGACAAGTGTCAGATAACATGAAACCTGGGTCGACTACCTATAAATCACCACCTTATCCCAAATGGGATCAGTCGACAAATTATTACATCGGACAAGGTCAATAAAGTTATTCTTCTTAATATCGAAGGACAAAGATATTCTTAACTGCCTTTAAAATGATATTTGAATAGTGTTTGAATTCCCTAACTGGCTAAAGTCAAAGCATAATGCCTTGAAATAAACAAATAAACAAAGTTTTAACATTGTTTAAACAATCAGTTGTTGGAAATATGTTACAAGCGACTCAGTCTTCATTGAAACAAAACAGTTAGTAGGTTGTGAGACCTCATGATAAGAGTTTAGGTCATAACTCTTCATTTAGATTATCCATTGTAACAATCTTAGTTCGGTGAATTGATCGTCGCAATTGATATAAATCACATATTATGAATAAAAAGTGCTCACTCCTAATGTAGGTGGTGAGACTATAATTAATAGACGACCTTTGAGCAGTGTTAAAATGACTTTGAAAACATTCATTTATGTACTTGAAATGAGTGATAACTATAAACCAGTGTGAGGAATTAGAATTGGGATTTACAACTGTCGATTACGGTTAAAAATTAGGTCTAAAGTTTTCATTACAAAATGTCAAAATGTTGTTTAGCCAAATGGATGGGTGAATTTCGCACCAAAACCTGAGACCTGTTTTCTTATATCTGACTGGTTTGTCCATACATTATAGTCTTGTTGAGTGTCTCCTGAATAGAAACATGTGGTCAAATAATTTGCAACTTGGCTTCCAGATACAACTGTTTTTTTGGTATCATAAACTAACCACACTATTCAGCTCAAACCATCTCACATAATAGATCTAATTTAAGAGCATAGTCAGTGTTTATGAATTTACTCGTTAATATATATAAAATATGCCGTTATTGATGATCGGTACCCGTATTTAAAAGTAGGTAAACACTACATTATTCCGTTATGCAGAGACAATGTATCGATGAACATTGAACTCGTTCATCAAAATCAACTGCCGATATTCACTGTTATTCCCAACAAAAACTTTACATCCATTAGATATTCATAGTTTACAAATAACCGGGTAAATGCTACCAACAAGCAAAGAAAATATCATCTTTTGCCTATCCAAATGCCTAAATGTTGTACTGTAGCAACTCAGTCTAGTTTTTGATAAGTACAGCTCATAATCATAATCAATAAATGTTATTTATAAATTGTTTTGGTAACTAATTAGTCGCCAAAGTTTTGATGATATCTGAAAAAGGTTGACTACTCTAACTGTCAATTATACTTCCAAGGATTCCAAAGATATGCAACAAGAATATTAATAAATCTCTACTTGAAGTATGTCCACGTAACAGTGCAAGCATTCACGTTCCTAATTATACTTCTGTCTGTAGTGGGTAACGGAATCACGCTTTGAAGATCTCTCCAAAGTATTCATTTTGATAGTACTGCTATATTCTTCAGTTTTATCCCTATCTCTGTATATGCCAACATGAAAAGTTCTATATCAATGTAGAATGATACGATGATTATACGACTATAAAGGAGAACATGTAATTATCCTACTGAAATAAACTAAAGTCTGACCAATTCTTTATCAGATGTTAAAAGTGCCTTCGTCCCTAAAGACTGACCACCAGACATCGGCTACTTTACCTCAACTTCTCAAGATAAATATTATTCAGCACTCAAGACTTGTCAGTAAATTCGGATCAGGTAGCTACACTAGGCTGGTCATGCTCTACTGGACTTGCTTTTTTCGTCTCCCACTAGATATACCCTTAACAGTGATTTGTTAAGTGTAATTTGGCTTATTATGAAAAGCAGAAGAAAGTAATTATCAAACGACCATGGACCATGCTAAGAAGACATTGTATTATGCTAGTGTTAGTTTTCATTTTGTTACAGAAGGGTTAGTGGATTGTGGAGATATGACTGAAAAGCTTATTGTGTAAATAGTTTTTAATGTTGTTTGTATTTATTTTGTCAATCTTTCACTGTATGTATATTTATCATTAAATGACTGTACCTGTTGTTTTAGTATGTAGAGCCAGTGAAATGTCACTGAGCCCTAGCCAAATCATCCGGCAGTTGGATCACTGAATGTCGAACAGATCATCGCTCCCTGCCAAGGTCATGTACAACAAACGCGCATTAGTTAATCATATGCCATGGACTGGCCCATGCGGCAGTTGTCTTTCTTTCGCTTGTATCTACCTTAACTAATATATTTCTGTAATAACGTCCTCTGTGTTGTACAGCCTTCAAAGCATCTATGGTACCTTGATACGTCAATGGGGTAGTCCACGTAAAGCGCTGACCTCGAGGTGTGACTTCGACGTTAGCTAGTTTGTCATAACACTGACGTCTAATTCGAGTAGGTCTCCAATCATTTCGACACAGATCATCTACCTTGGTGATCTACAAGTAAATGACCTTGAACACTTTTTCCGTTGTGATACTGACATAGCGTGACATACTGTTGCTG